TCTGGTTTATAATATTGCGTCGTCTATTGGTGTTTTTACTCCGGATAGACCAACATGCATTGAGTAAGATCAAGATGACGTCGCTAATGCCGAATTGGTTAATTCCAGATAAACGCCAATCACACGAAAAATTCTTTTTCAAAACCATATCTCTTGCAGAAACTGCCGAAGCGGCAGCCGCTGGAGAAGTTGCGGCAGCGACCACAACCGAAGTGGCAGCGGACGCCTCCGAAGCAGCTGATCGGAGAACGATCATCGGCGGTATTATTTCAGGCGCTACTATAGCAGCAGCTGCTGCGGCATTGGCAGCCGCAATCACAAAGCATAACGACGCTGTCAAAGTAGAAAAGCAAGCCCAAGATGTCGTAAACGGCAACAAGACCGCGCTCAGGCAAAAACAGCTGACGAAAAAGCAAGCCGAATTAAAGGTACAACACGAAAAGGATGTATTGGCAGTCAAACAGAAGCAGCTGAAGGAGGCACAAGAAAAAGAACAAGATGCACAAGACGTAAAAGATGTTTTGAACGCGGCTCATGTCGGCATCGAGAAGATTGGAAAGAAAATCAAGGAGAGAAAAACGAGCCGGACAATTACAACGGCACAAAGAAAGGTAGGAAACTATGCGTACCAATTTAATACAAAGACAATATCGTGCCCAGTTACGTACGTGTTGGGCGTAAAAATGAATTTTTAGGCATGATCATTAAACTCCGGCATGCTAATGTAGGAATAGCCATATACCATAAGATAAAAAAGTTTATATCATTCATACAGTACAGCAATCGTATTAAAAGTAATGCAACCTTGGCTTGTATTACGCCATGCATGTGAGGTAGTATTTGATTGTTCTCACCAGGCAAATCTGAACTAAAAATGAAGACAAAACAACATTCACATGCTTGACAAAACACACAAACTTTTAATTCAAGCAAATATCTCACACTATTTGTTGGTATAACACACAGAGAGCACCTATATATATCTTACAATTGAAGATAAAAACTTATTGAATACCCGCCTTAGAAAGTTGTTCCTTTTGTCATCTTTCTGTCAAAACTATTGCTTCGAAGTGATATAAGTTTTAAATTAATGAAAAGAATTTTAGGTATTTCTTCGTATCAAACGCTATATTTTTCAAAATCAAAAACATAAACAAAAATCCACCGCTTTTCAATTAAATTTCTTCGGAGCGTGCGCGCATCCTGTAAATCAAGATGGAGGGTAACTCGGTACCTGCACTGAACTCTCTAAGGGCCTGTCGCTGTGGGCAAAAGATAACCCGGTTAGCGAGAAAACGTTTCGACAAGTTTACAAGCGAGATGGTATGAAAATAATATGAAAAGTTACACTGCGTTCATACGAGACAAAAAGTTTTACCGTGTACCGAGATCTCGCCTGCTTGTTGACAGGCAAGATCTCGGTGACCGGGATGTTTTTCCCATTTGAACACAACTTTCCAGTTTAGCGGGATAACCCTCTGTCGTGTTAGCAACTTTTCAATTCAATTCATGTTAAGTGCTACGTCAGAGCCGGAAACTTTACCCGGTAAGCGGGATAACGTTTCTCCATATGAACAGAACAAAAAGTATTTGGCTAGTCGAAAAGTTTTCTCGTTAACCGGGATAACTTTTGCCCATTTGAACAGGCCCTATAGGGCCTAAAATTCCTGGAACGAGAACTTGGTGGCCATGTTTGAAGCCACTCATGATGGCACCTAAAGAATTCGCGGAAACGAAAGCAAAACTCTATTTTTATGTTTCGACTTCTCATGATCACATAAATTTTCGTTTGTCTCACGGATACGAGTTTGTTGGCTCATGCAGAATACAGAGTTGCTCAACTTTTGCCAAAGGCCTTTTTCGGCCTTTTTGCCTTGGCTTTTTTTGTTCACATAATTCAAAATGGTTGATTATATACAAGACTCGGGAAACGTTTTGCCATTTCACATTTCAAAATACGAACGCAAGTTACATTTGACTGAGTGACCAAACACCCGTTCGTTAAAGTAAATTGGTTCACAACCTTCCAGTCTTTTCCAAAAAGAAATTCCTAGCTTGGATATCTCGACCGGTGGAGACTAAGCCCTATATACTAGGCAAGACCAGGTCAAGAATAGCGTGCTCGATTTTTTTTATCACGATTGCAATGAAAATTATCCTTATTTCTCTCTAGATTTAAGTTTGACGTGCAAGTTAAACGTAACAGAACATGCATGGTCCTTGATAATCACAACTAGAATAGTCAACAACGGTCATTTTGAAGACACTGAAAACAATAAGGAATAATCTTTAAAAACGTAGATATATATAATTTTATAATAATAAAAATAGTAATAATAAGAAGTGAAATACTTTACAATTACATGTTGTCACTCATTGCATGGAACACCTTAATGTGCACAAAACTAGTCCAGTTTATCGAATAAATTAAAGGTTTCATGCACTGATTTGTTTGACTTATTTCGCAATCAATGCGAAGCAATATACGTTTTTGCGTCTACTGTTGTCCAAGCAACCTATGGCAGCTACGGTGACGTGTTTCTGAATTCAATGGGTTTGCAGTTTGTTTTGTCAATGTAAGTCACGTGCATGCGTAAGTCGTATTTAGAAATTAAGTCATGGCCATATTGTAAACACTAGACTGGACTAGGTTTGGAATGGACTCTGGACTTAAAATTTCGTTCTAAAAACACTGCGCGGAATAAATAACTACAAACAGTACATGAATCTTCAGAGTACTGCCTCTATAATCATTCATATATATTGTTGCTTCGTTCTTTAAAACCATTGCGCGAACTAAACAATTAACAGTACATAACCTCCAAAGTACTGCCTCATAATCACACTTATTTTTCATATTACTCGGTCTCCTTTGTTCTTTAGAGGAAATTTATTTAATATCCCCTGCCGGGTTAAGTGTGTGAAAAGCTGGGGGCGGCTTTTGATTTCAACAGGGGAGAGCGGGGCTGAAAACAAATTCAAAGGCAAGCAATAGATAGTAATCCCCTGTAATATTGCCTCTAATATTCCCCCCTATCATCATGCTTTGTTTTTTCTTTCTGAAACAAAAGTGATCAGTGTTTGGAAATTGGAACTTGCATGTTTCATTAAATGTCTTTCATAACGAATTTCTTTCTATTATGTCTCCTAAAATGCGACCTCGCCATGCAATGTGAAAAATAAGTACGTCATTTTGAGGCACCTCGGGACCTAGGACAGACCAGAGTCCTGGGGCCAATTGTATCAAGCCCGTTTAGCTTAAACGGTGGATAAGTCAAAATTAAATAGCACTCTTATATCTTTTGTGAATCAGTCAACTTAAATATTCTGCACTGAATATATAGTTGTAAACATTATCGTTCTATTAAGGTTCAAAACTTTTAGTTTGGTTGTTTAATGAATCTATAGCCGACTTGCTTTCTTAAGCTAAACGGGCTTGATACAACCGGCCCCTGTAGTGTAAACGCACTAGGACTGACCTAAGACTGACTTATAAGACCGACCTGTAAGACCATGTTTTCAGGCCAAGCATTAGAGGTGGCCTGAAAACACGGTCTTAGGTCAGTCCCAGGTTCTCAGGTCAGGCATGCAAGTGTAAACACATTTTCACTGACCCATGACGTGCTCGAGGCTAATTAGCCTGCGAACAGGCTCTCAAGCTGAATTGAGAGCCTGCATCGATGACTAATGAATCTGAATATCTGCGTCTCAAATCGTGACGCGAAATTCTCATTGGTCAGATGCTATAATTTATATGTTTCCGCTGAGCTCTATATATGTCAACTGCTAAGCACTATGCATAAAAAACACATTAACTGATCAAATTGGTCATGGCCATCTTATCTCAAAGCACGAAATGTTCTGTTTTGAGAAAACAGTATTTAAAACATTTGAACTTTTGCTTGAATATCTTATATTTCAAAAAACAGTATAAGCTGTACGGTCTAAATTTAGTTTGCACGGTCTAAATTTAGTTTGCACGAAAGTTGTAAACAACACCATATAAGGACAGACATTCCATATTTGGAAAAACGAACGTTACGGGGCAGATATTCAAATTCATTAGTCATCGATGCAGGCTCTCAATTCAGGTTGAGAGCCTGTTCGCAGGCTAGAGACTAATTTCCATGACAACAAACGTAAATTTGAGTCTTTGATGTCAGCACTCAGCGGATGTCATTTTCTACTTTGTACAGTAATTCATTTTGCATGTACTGTTTATAATGGCCAATTCAATGGGACTTGGGCCTTTAGTTATGTAACAAATGTAAACACACCGTGTAAGCCTGGCTAGGTATACTTCTCAGGTACAAGTAAATGTCAGTCTCTTAGTGTAAACACGGCTAATTAAACCTCATTAAGCTTCATAATCTATTTTTTGAATTGCATACGGATCCGCAAAATAGATAATTCGCGATCTGTAAATCGTTTTGACGAACCGTTGAGGGAGCCAGCTAAACATTCAGAGGAGCATACTATACATTCAGCTTCACACTTTTGTAGTCCACATTTGAGTTGCCATTCTATAACCTCGCTTTCCTTAACGTTCACAACACATATATAGCTAACGCGACCATCGCCAGGCCTCCCAGTATTTCCTCCCTTTGGCATCAATAAATTTGCCGTCAGGCATCAATAGCCACGCAATGGCCAATCGATTTTCTACCGTCTGGACCCTTCTCGTAGTCGATCGTAAGTGCAGCAGGGTGTCACTGACCCTGTATTCTTTCTTTTGCATCTCGCAAAGCATCACCAATTTTATATTCATCATGCAGTTATAGATCTGGCAGACACTTCATCAATTAAACCTATACTTTCGAAAACTCTGTCAACAACAAGCTGCACCTTCCTACTTCACATTTTGCTTCAGGTAACTTGTTTAAGGCACACATACTGCACCTCTGCGATCATATACAAAATGAAGATGACAACGCTGAAGCCTCACGAAACTGGGCAATTGAGTGCAACAGAAAATCTGACCAATTCGGCAGGTTCTACCTGAAAAGAATTGTATATTAGAATAACTATACAGATAAATCTGCTTTTTTGTGGCACAAGATTTGAAACGAAAACAAACGGATCCAAAAACGGAATTACATGCTATACTGTATGTATATAAGCAGATTTTGTACATATACATTGTACGTACATTTCCCCAGTCAATGTTTAATGTGATTTCATCTCTATAGCAAAAATATTTTATCCTTTTTGATGGCGAATAGTCGAATCAATTAAGCTTCGCCTTAATTCGTTGACTATTCGCAAATAGACAACGAGACCCAGTTATCTTCTTGTAAATTACTGGCCTTTCTATTACAAAACTGCGTTTTGAGGCTACGTTACTGGAGCTCTTCTGGATGATAGTCTAACAGTCACAGCAACCACAAAATGCAGCAGTTATAAAATCTTAACGTGCCCGGCTATATGTACATAATTTGCGAAAACTATGCAGATTGAGGAGAAAAACTTATAAGTGGCTCTTTTAATAAAATACTTAGCATGGCACAAATACTTGCCCGGGTCTTAGTTAATGTGTAACAATCTACATGTGTATACAGTACTGTTCAGAAATAACCTAACACTGCGGTCGAGGTTCGATTGCGGTGAGGATGCGGTCGACCGACAGAAACCGCAAACGACCGCAAGGGAAAACCGCACTCAAAAATAGGATCGGTTAACATTCGTTTCCAAATCGTATGAAATGCTGAAAACGGATATATATATATATATATATATATACATATATATATATATATATATATATATATATATATATATATATATATATATATATATATATATATATATAT